AGCGTTCGGTAGACAAGGTCGAATTTACTGCTTATAAACTCCAATTTTCCATGAATCTCGTACATTCATAACTGCTCTGGCGTATCGAATGTAAACAAATGACGTCATGTTTATGATAAACAGTATTAAATAACATTTTCCGGCCTGAATGTCCGAGAAATTTTCATAGAAAATATTCGTTCTTTGACAGTCATTTGTTTACATTCGATACGCCAGAGCAGTTATGAATGTATGAAAAAATATCTTGGCCGAAGTTTTTCACCTTCTGATGGATTTTATCACAGTAAATGTAAATGTTAGGTTTTAAGATTTTTAAAAATTTAAAAACGCTCCTAAATATTCATCAGGCTAACTGAAAGTCAAGGTAAGTTATGGAAGATGCTAAGTGATGTAATTCAATGTCCAATAAATGAAAACGAGTAAATATTGTTATTTATTAATTGCATTAGTCATACATAGAAATAAGTTTATCCACGGCTTCGATCTAAAGGATGGCACACTTATTAAAAGAGTAATTAACTTACTTAAGCGGAAAAGTCTTGAGATTGCCGCTATCAAATCTTAACAAAATATAAATGTATATATAAATATGAGCACAGGATTTTTTTCAAATATTTCCTTTCCTAAAAGAAATAATCGTTTCCTTTTCTCACACGAAAACAAGGACAAATGTCCATATAAATATATGTCCACAAATCCTTCGTTTTTCAGTTATTAATTTTAAAGAAAAATTACGATAGATGGCGCTGTGTGGCCATGGAGACTAGGTTATATTTGTCATCCATTTACATTTGTGGTTAGTCGGTCTTCAACGTTGAAAGTGTGTAGTAGTGAATTAACTGAGTAGTGTTCCGTTTAACAATGGCAAGACATATCGTGAGCAGGAAGACATGATTTTTACATACGACCACGCGAATGGTAATGGACACGAAGCTGCACGGCTGTATCAGAAGTTGTTTCCAGACTGAAGGCAGCCGAGTCATCCAACTTTTGCTGCTGTTCACCGTGACGTTGCTAAGGCAGAATTCGTGGCACCACAAATTATGGATAGAGCTCCTATGCCTGACCACGAAGAACAGATTCTACAGACTGTCGGAGACGATCCAGGTGTCAGCACACATTAAGTGGCCCTAGCATGTCGTACATTGAGGTTACTTCAAGAGCAGCTCCTGTATCCGTATCATTTGCAACATGTGTAGAGTCTTCTGATCACTCAGCATAGGAGAACTTTTGCCGATGGTTTATTACAGAAATCTACTTTATTTGTCTCTTCAGTTTTGTTCCTGAATGAGGCAACATTTAGAAGACATGGAACAACAAATTTACACAACCAACATTTGTGGGATCGGAATCCCCATAGTACTATACAAGCTAGACACCACCATCAGTTTACGATTTATGTGTAGGCTGGAATTGTAGGTGACTGTCTCTTAGGTCCGTATTTTCTCTTATCACGTCTTACAGGAGCAGTCTGCAGGCACTTTATTTCGAACAAACTTTCAGGCCTGCTAGAGGATGTAATCCTGCTAAAACGAAGACATGTGGTTCCTGCATAATGGGACTCCAACACATTTTAGTCACGTTGTTCGCGATGCACTGGCAGTCATCTAGCATGAAAAATGGGTAGGTAGGGGAGAACCGGTTCCATGGTCTGCATGTTCCACGACCTCATTCCTTTGTTGTTGTTTTTTTTTATCTGTGAGACTACATAAAACAGACATTAATAATGCAGAGACGTTCCATCAACTTGTCATAGGGGCCTGCCAAAACATTCGTGTGAGAATATTTGAAAGGGTCCGCCAGTCAATGATCCGACGGGTGCATGTGTGTGTAGAATCAAGCTGGGGACATTCTAAACATTTGTCATTCCAGGCCCTTAATGTTTCAACTTGTTCAACAAACGCTTTGTGTGGATTATATGGTTATCTTTTGTCTTTGCAGGCATGAATTGTCTTAAGGTACAACAGTGGCATTTTGGACATGTTTGCATATATATATATATATATATATATATATATATATATATATATTTTTGAATTTGTAGGTTTGATGAATTGAATCGTATTTACGATTCCAATGGAATAGATGATGACCATGGAATATTAGTGTTTAATCCTTTATTATATATATATATATATATATATAGAGAGAGAGAGAGATAGATAGATAGATAGATAGATAGATAGATAGATAGATAGATAGATATTATGCATAATGTGTCCCAGGCACTTTTGTCCACTGTTTTAATCATTTTCAAGGGGGTTTTGTTTTTGGTGTTGTTATGTTTTCCTCATGCTTTGATTGTTTAAGTTCTATTTTATTTTTGTGTTGTTTTGAATAGGAGCGTTTATTCTGGGCCTTCTCGTGTTGAGTGGCGGATGGAATTCATGCAAGAATTTTCTATTTATATAAACTTTTAATATTTCATTTCCATTGTTAAACAAGGTGAGCTTGAGTAGATGTCTAATATATATATTACCTTTTGATAAATTATGTATAAATTAACGGTATCTGTAGAAAAAATAACTTTAGCATAAAATACATTCACAAAAAATATTCATGAATTATGTGAAGTGCACACTAATCTCAACATCATGCAAATATTTCGTAATGAACAGAATGCTGTGCATCTCGGTTTTTAACATACAGTAATATAAGGTGACCCCCCCCCAAACGGGAATTTTTGAAGTGCGTATTGCCAGACATGAGCAAGTGGCAACACAGTGACCTTGAGCAAGTAAACATTTCGCCATTTCGAATTCAAGATGAAATTCACAGTATCCCAGCTGAGATGTTGCAGCAGTCAATGAGAAATTTCAACAGCAGATTGCAAGAATGCATTCGTACAGGAGGACGCCATCTACAGGACGTAATTTTTAAAAAATGAAAATTCCATCATTGTTTCTCAAATGGCATGTTTTAAGGTTTCAATTACTATGAATAAAATATTTTTCTTCCATCACTCTTGGTTTTATTGGATTGTTAAAAAGTTCCCGTTTTTTTTTGGTCACCCTGTATATATGTTCAGTTCTTTGACCGATCTGTATGTATTTAGCAAAATACGCATATATCATGAAAGAAATGATCCATTTAAAAAAATGAATAATTGTCAAACTCTTCTTGACGGATCACCTTCATAAATCCAACGTTAGCATCGATATTTACCATATTTATCGATGGTAACGATGGATTGATTAAACAGAGTTATGAAATGTTTACATACCAGAATCAGGGTATTTTTATTTCGGGCATTGTTCTAGCTATGATGGACTTCAAAGATCATATAGTGTTATAGGATTGACTTCCTTCTCTACTACGCTTCATACGTAGTAGTCTAAAGTATTCAGATCTGGAGAGCTAGGTGACTATATGTTTGGGATGACGTGATCATCAGATTGTAACTAATACATTCATAGCCTTATGAGGGGGCGCAAACCGTTGGCGGTGACGTGCTCTCTATCCAAAGCCTCACATCTCCCGCCAACACTTGCTTTTAGTCAGCAGCATTGATTCTTAAACCTTCAGGAAAGAAGTGAGGTGGTATGACATCTCCCTTGTTGCTCACGACTCCGAGAACCATTAGAGTTGCCGGAAACTTTGTGTGAATCACCATTAGAACGTTCTTAGTGTATCTGCTATCTATAATTACCTATCATTCCTTCAGCTGACTTTTTGTTCCCGATCAAAGTTTTGAAGAAAATTCCAGGCCCTTAATATTTCAACTTGTTCAACAAACGCTTTGTGTGGATTATATGCTTCTCTTTTGTCTTTGCAGGCATGAATTGTCCTCTCCGCATCAGATATGATTCTTATCGAAGGTTCTCATGCATAATTCTTCCGATAGCGTGTCCTGAAACCAATGCTGTTAATTGACTTTCTCTGGTTCTTATCGATAATTCTCTAGACCTTTCATACATCAAATGGTATCAGTACCCTTACAAGGCGTTTTTTCATTTGGTTACTGCTGTAGAATACGTGTCAGCAGCTTCCAGCTGTTTGTGAACTTTAACGACAGGCGAGTGTGAAACTTTCAGAAATTTTTAATTTGTGTTTATTCTCGAAGTTATTTATTTTTATTTATTTATTTTTCTTGAAATTCTCGAAGCTATTTCAATCAAAAAATTGAAACCAAACCTCAATAAAATTAATTAAGAATATTCCACAAACATTTTAAAATGTGTACAATGGATAGCCTTTAAATGTTAGCGTTTGTCATTAATAGTTTTTCCTTTATCTAGCATCTACTCAAACCCGGAACTTTTCTACAGCATACCTAGTTACCTCCCATCAAACGGTGTCTGTCAACCAACCATGACACAGCGTTCGTGAATCGACATGGTAATCCACGGATGACCACAACAGTTTGTTCCCTTCATAACTATGAACACTAAATACTTACTCTATATTCAACAATACCCTGATGATGACATTATGCTATGTCGAAGGCACTCAGAATAAATACAATATAAGCCAACATGGTGTTTTCCTTTCATCTTTTAACAAGCGCACAAAAAAGCTTATTCGCGAATATGAAAGGATCTCTTCGAAAATATGTAGACAGATCTTATTTAACGAAACCTGTCTGAAGATATATATATATATATATATATATATATATATATATATATATATATATATATATATATATAGAGAGAGATAGACGTCTTCTTTCTTGCATATCTTTGAATATAGCGATAAATGGCATGTAAGATTGATTGATTATTGATTCGTTTTTTACTGCTTATCACTCCTTTGCAGGTTATTTAAAGCCAGAAACTATTTTTAAGATAGTAAGTGTTATCTTTTTAAGAAATAATAATGATTTAGGCATACAGCTCTTACCAATGAAGCCATATCTGGAGGGGGAGAAGATGTGGATTTATTCCTTTCCCAAGGGTATTTGCGCGCAGGTGAATGTAACGAACACTACTTAAATTGGAACTCGGCTCTCCGATTAAGAATGACGAACAATTATCCCTTATACCACCCGCACATCCAAGCTTACAGCACCTGGTACTCCCAAGCGGTCACCCATCTAGGTAATGACCAGGCTCGACAATGCTTAGCTTCGGTGATCGTACGGGAACCAGAGTTTCCTCGTGATGTGGGCGTAAGGCGCCACGTGAGAGGTCGGTCAAACAGCGGATATATCGCCGCCTTTTTTTTCCATATCGATTTTCATTCGTTAGAATAGAATGAAGCACAGGCCTTTGAAAGGTAACGTAAATGTAACGCACTGTTAATTGATGCGGACTTCGCTGGAAGGTTTCTTCTTTAGTGTCTGTCAACGATATCGAGAAATGGGCTACACTTCAGCTGCGTACACCGATCAATCTTATTCGTGGATGCCGTAGTCCAAAAGTGAACGTGGGTCCGACTGCGTGATAGACAAGTCATCCTAGCGAACGAAGGCGGCGAAATGTCTTCTATCTTTTATAGTTATTTTGTACAATAGTTCCTGTCTGGCAGCTGGTCACTGTCACATTTTAATTTTCTCGGTGTGAGATTGTGAAAATGAGAAAGAACCGAATCTGTTCTTTTCAGTATAATACAATTATTATATACGTACGCATGATTTATATATATATATATATATATATATATATATGTATGTATGTGTGTGTGTGTGTACGCATGCATTTAAAAAAAAGGTCGAGTTCGAATAAAATTATAATCCAACAAGACTACCTTCATTTCAATGTGCATTTATTTATTTTTAACGCCTTCGTGATGTAGACAATCATGGCTCTCCACAGATTCCTTTTTTATTAGGGCTTACGACCATATCACGTTGAAACACCAGTTCTCGTATGATCACCGAAGCTAAGCAATGTCAAATCTGGTCAGTAGCCTCTTGGGAATATTAGGTGCTGTAAACATGGATGTGTGGGTGTTGCGATGGTTAACGACTCGGGGAGCCGAGTTCCAGTTCCAGTCAGGTTCGTTATATTCACTAGCGCAAGCATCCTTGGAACTGGTATGAATCCACCTCTTCTTCCCCAGCTATGGGTTAATTAGTAAGACTTGTATCATCAAATTCTTATTAAAGAAAACAAATTCTAAAAATATTTTCTGGCTTTAAATAACCTGCAAAGAGTTGATAAACTGTAGAAAACGAATCAATGAGTCAAAAGTTTCACATGTTGTATTTTCATAGCAAGGCAATTTCATCCAAAATGAAAATTGTCACCACAGGATAATGTAAAACAACGAAAAAAAATGTCACAAAAAATCTTTCAATGTAAAAATATTTTCTGGCTTTAAATAACCCGCAAAACCGTGGAAAACGTATCAATCAACCAAACCTCTCGGGCCCATGGATTTGGGCAGAGGGTGTCAGTTATACTGAATTTTACTAAATCTTACTTTGTTTAGTTTGAGTTCAAACACTTCAGGTGCCTTCCTCAAGTATTTTATGGTTTAATTTAATATTTTTAAATTGGATTTTTCTTCTCTATTGGACACCAATCCGACTAAGCACTCTTCCATATTTTTCTTATTCTAATATATCTACTCCTTCATGGCCCTCAGCAGGAGACGCAGCCAAAGCTCCGAATTATAGACGTCGGAATCAAGCAGGTACAGAAATGTAATAATTTGGTATTGTAACAGACAACAAAGTGTGACATAGACACGAAGGTACATCGGAATAACGAAAGATGCCTTTCAGAAACTAAGCATAGCATTAAAACATTGGAATGTTTTGATAGAAACAAAGAAAAGCGTCATACCTAAACCCCTGTATAGCAATGAATGCTGGACAAATTCCTTACTGATGAAGAAGAAGCTCGAAATCACTGAGATACGGTTTTACCATAGACAGAACACGTGATAAACAAGGAAGTTTTAAAGAAAATAGGAACTATAAAGACACTCATATTTAAAATCAGAATTAGGAGAAATATGTGGGACACATTATGAGGAAAGACGGCTTGGAAATTTTAATATTCACAAGACTATTGAGAGAATAAGGACAAAATGAAATGAGACTGTGTTAATAGATGACAGAGCAAAAGCAAGGAAGGATGGTAAAAAATCAAGGCATCCTTAGATTTACAAAGAACAGGGAGTTGTGGAGAGATGTAAACTTTCAAAATGGGTCAAAATTTACCAGTTTCCCAGTTAAAAGAACATTTCGATATGTGCATCGGAAGAATTAAAGACAAGGGGGAATATACAAAAAAAAAAAAAAGAAAAACGGAAAATTTAATTTCCTTCTTCTTCTTCTTCTTCTTCTTCTTCTTCTTCTTCTTCTTCTTCTTCTATGTGACACGTCCCTTCAGGACATAAGCGATCATGGTTCTCTACAGCTTTCTATCTCGTGTGGGCCGTAGCAGTTTTTTTTCTCCCTTCGATAAGGCCCTTCACCCTGTTCTATCATCCATTCACACAAGCACGATATGAACATGGCTAGCTACCTTCCCCTGTTTCTCTTACCCTCAATATGCCTCATGAGGGTTATTTTTTCCAAGCCCTCCTTCCTCATTGTGTCCAAGAAATTTCAGTTGCTTCTTCCTGGTTCTGGGTATAATTGTTCTTTCTGTTGCCATTTTCTTTAAGAATTCCTTGCTGCTTACTCGCTCCGTCCACGGAATTTTCAGTATCCTTTTGTAGAACCACATTTCTACTGCATCGATTTTTTTCCTCATCCTTGTGGAAATTGTCCAACACTAACTGCCATATTAGAAGAAGGATATCACATAGCCATCCACTAAACTTATCTTTGTTTCTAACGAATCATTTTGCTGAGATTACGCACAGCAATAATAAATGCTGGTAGGATATGATTAGTTTGATTCGTTTTTACGGCTTATCAACCCTTTATTTAAAGCTAGAAAATATTTTTAAATTGTGAGAATCTTTTTAAAGATAATAATAATTTAGCGATAAAAATCTTACTAATTAACCCATAACGGGGGGAAGTAGAAGTTATAAGTAGAAGATTCATACCTTTCGCAAGGGTATTTATGCGCAAGTGAATATAACGAACCCAACTGAATTTAGATCTCGGCTCTCTGATTAACACGACATTCACATCCTATCTTACAATACCTGGCATTCCCAAGCGGTCACCCATCTACGTACTAATCAGGATCAACGTTGCTTAACTTCGGTGATCATACGGGAACAGGTGTTTCAACGCTACATGGCTGTATGCCTGGTAGGAACTACAGTTCTCTTAGGATGGCGTCGCTGTAAAGGTTCAATAAATCTGGGGAGAAGATGCATCATTGCCTCACGCCCCTCTCTATTTTTTATAATAAATTTTTTATTTTATTTTATTTTTTTTTTTGCAACACGTGTCAGTATGTTGAAATCCTCACAGTACTTAGTATTGTTGAAGTAATTGCCAACATTTTTGTCGAGATTTACAAACTATATTTCGTTTAATTTCGCAAACCAATCGATGAAATTTGAATAAGTTGACTTCTTTGGAAAAATACTTTGAAAAAAACCCAACTTCATGGTTTAATAATTTATTTAATTTAATTTTATAGTAAACAATAATTTTTAACTTTTTTAACAGCAAAGAATAAATTTTCAGGATTTCTTACTCTTGAGCATGCAACATACATGCGTAAATATTTCTTTCTGGAACCAAATTCCAATGTTTTAAAGCATTTGCAATTGTCATAATATTTATTGTACAATATGTACAAATGTGGCACAAGGCCAAAAAAGGTGGAAAAGATGGCCTTCTTCTGTCTTAACATTAAACTTAGCTAGCCGCAAACACTGAACCAAACATACAAACAATATTCCTTTCACCAAAACAACACATTATTACTTACCGTTCTTACCTCAACCACCATAATACTTCAGAAACTCTATGAAGTCCTAACTAATCCCCATATATACAATTCATTGTCGGGGGGGGGAATAAAATAACAATTAAAAATCTAAAAAAACAATGACTATTTACAAATGTGTACAAAAATATATACAAGAAACTAAACAAAATTTTGTTAGTAATAAAACCCTCCACAAAGCCCTAACTGTGGCAGTAACATCAGTTCACTGGACGAAAACAATGCGGGGCTTTAAAAAATATAAAACATCCACACATCCCAACCACTCATTCAAACACACACACATTCAAACACAAAAACCGTTACGAAAGTCACACCCGAAACGAAAGACGCCCCGCACCCACCTGAGAACTAACACCCACCTAAAGATGGGCGTTTGGTCTTGGAATTTGTTTATAGTTCTCGCTGGATTCTTTTACATCTAAAACTTAAAAAAGATATGCAAAAAGCAATATTGAATTTTTATTAAATAAGTATTTGCTATTTTAATTATTAAATTGTTTTTAAAATAGTGGGAGCATGTTAAATAGTAAAACTTTTAATTCTTCCAAAGACATTAATTCAAATTTATTTTAACAAGCTCCGCAGCCTAGTAAAAACAACTGTACTTTGTAACCTGTTTTCACTTCTCCCCAAAATTTGGTTTCTGTTAGTCAATGTATGGCTATTTGAGAGAGCGTGACCGATGGACGGATGGACAAACTGAAGGAAGTCATATAATTTTATATATAAATTTAGTATTAGAAATAAGAAATCATACATGAACTAGCGAGTCTCTTTTCGTCAAAATATCTCCGCGTTGGCGCCCTGGTGACTGAGGAAAAAGACCCAGATTTATGACCATTGATGCCGTGGGTAGTGAAGGGCATGGAAATAGGTTGAAAGGATTAAACAAAAAAAGCATAGAGGTAAGGTATGGTACGATTTCTGTAATATAGAAAAATAATAATTTTACAACGAATTCTTTTTCAATAAACACAATAACCTCGACGTCTAATCTATTGTCTAACGCCATTAACTCAACAACAATGAATAAGTATTCGTTTGTTACAAAAATTGCTTTCACTATCGATAATACTTTATAATACTGTGCAAGATTTACACAATTACCAGCATTATTGTATGGAGGTACAAAGTTCCGCCTCAAATCTTTTTTTTTTTTTTTTTTTTTGAATTTTTACCTTACGTCATTTTTTTTACAGATTCCAAACTATGACGATAACATTGTCTTTTCTCTTTTACCTGTCCTTGTCGTTTTATCTCGGTTAATGAAATAAGGAAAATAAAAGAAATATTGTAACCAGTTTGATATCTATTGCGTACGCGTCAGTTATGAAAGCAAAATGAAAGAACAAGACAACAACTGAAACATATGACAAAAGTGGTTTTATTTAGCAAAAACACCTGCGTTTAACGGTGTCTTTATATATTTTCGCTTTATTTGGAGAATCAAAATTATAACCGCAAGCAATATTTTGGTTTTTATACGCATTAAGCAAACATAACAGCAACATTTCAGCTGGTTCGTCCTGGGTATGATGATAAACTACATCCGACAACAAAGTCTCTGAAATAGAGATTGGAGGTATTGAGGAGCGTGGAACCATCTTTTAATTACTGTTTGCTCCCAGGTCCACCCTGACCTGAGATGATATCACCTGTTAGGGTCCCAATTATGGGCAAATAGTAAACCTCAAACAAAAATCAACGGTACATTTTCATAATAAAATGACCAACAATACATTTTATAGCAAAATGACAATCAATGCAACACTAAAAAATATAAATTATTTTATAGTAAAATTATTAATAATACATTTTATGGTCTACAAAATACATATCTAAAAAACATACTTTTACTCCGAAAGTATAAAATTATGTACAAAATATCTGTAGTTAAAAGAATAAAACTACTTACAAAATATTTAGATTTTGGCATTAAATAACCCATAGAGGTGTTGATATGCCGCTAAACAAAATCAACCAACCAAACAACAAACATGAAAGAACTCTTTCATGATATTAGTCCATATAATATCCTACAATTTCTTAAATCGAATGTTATTTCAAAATATAACTTCAATAAAATTACAACATAAAACAAAGACATATCACTGCATCTAGCAATCATCTATATGCACAAAAGCTGAGTATCATCTACCATGTGTTCAACTGTGAAATCAGAATAACATATGTCATATTTTCATTACTACAAAGCTCACAAGAAAATTAAATTTCGGCTTTAAATGACCCATAAGGACTTGATGTGTCGCTAAAGAAACAAATCAATTAATCATTCTAGCTGGTCTTGTTAGATCAATTACGAGTGAGTAGTGACTTCGATCCTCACTGTGTGTTCCATACTTACGGCCATGTGCCACAACTAAGCTATACTTAGTATATCGTCTGGAGAATTCGACGTGGTGCAATTGTTAGCAAGCTTGTCTCGCTAGATCACTTACGACTGAATAGTGAGTTCGATCTTCACTACATGCCCCTTGCTTTCAGTCAGTTGCCGCATCTAAGCTACTCATAGAAAATAACCATAACAGCAGCTTTCTACGCCAAAAAGTTATTTAAAACATTGCATTTTATACTTTTATTTTTCTTGTATGTAAACGTCTTTCGAAACCTTAGATTTATTTTCTCTGAAAACTCGTCATACATGATACACGCTTGGGCGATCGTTTCTCTTTCGATTCATGACTGGGCAGGAGATCTTCCCGCAGTAGATTGTCGTTTTTTCTGTAGTAGACTGGTTGCCAGCCAAGGCTATAGAATGGATGCCGACCCAGTCTGTCCTGCTATTCCAAAGAAAAAAAAAAACCAAGCGAGTAGTATAGCTAAAACGTAGAGTTCTCGATACGTTAAGTAGAGTGTGAATGAATAAAATAAATTTAAAATGAGTTAGGAAAACCTACCTAGGTTTTATCTAAACTGATCTTCAGGGTAAGCTGACCCTGAAGATCCGTTTAGGTGAAACCTAGGTAGGTTTTCCTAGTTCTTTTAGGATTTATTTTATATATATATATATATATATATATATATATATATATAATTAATTCATCGAGTCTGATAGAAACTTCAACAGAATGCAGAAAGCACTGGACGGCCGTTTCGTCCAATATTTGGGACTCATCAGCAGTGCGCATCCACTACCGAGAATTGAAACCCTGACAGTTAGGTTGTCAAGCGAACACCATACCAACTGTTCCAAATGGGTCTCGGTGACGAAGAGATTCCAAATCAGACTCAATATATATATATATATTGTGAGAACTGTTCAAACTTGGTGTTTTCTCGGGGAAATGTTAGCCTGGTATACCACGTTTTCCGAATTACAGGTGCCTTCGACTGGGTAAATGCTTCCGCTTTTACAGTTAAAAAAAGAGTGTTAATAATATTATATGAAAAGATTACATAACTTTAAAATATAAATTTCATCCCAACTTCGGAGATTCTTGGTAAAATTTCCAGTTGTCAGGGGATTATGGTTTTAAACATTTTTTCCAGTTTTTTACATTTGTTCCACGTCTTTTTTCAATCGGCTTTTTACTCCGTTTTATATACGTGCGTATTCACGAATTTAACGTTCTTTTATACGCGCATATTCATGAAATTTTGTTTTTGTTTACGTCTTTCATTTTTTTTTTCAGCAGTAGAGTTTTCTTCCAATTATAAATTTTTCTTCGAAATTAAATTAAATTTTTTATGGTTTATATAGAAGGTGTTGTGTTATGTTATATTATTGATGAATTAAAGTCTATTTGATAATTTGTGTCATTAATTAAATTATAATATTTTATGTTGTATTTGTATTATTAATTAATATTTTTAATTAATATCTTAATTGATTTATGTTAAATTATTATTAAAGTAAGGAAGTAAATATTTGTTAACATGTCGGCATTTTTCTAGACACAATCTACAGTTCCTATTTGTAATATTATATGGAGATCCTTTTTTATAATGTTAAATTCAAATTTTACCAAGAAACTTCGAAGTCGGGATAAAATTGATATTTAAAAGTTAAGTAATCTTCATATATATATATATATATATATATATATATATATTATGTGAAATCCTCAAAACTGTCCACTCAGTAATAAATGTTGTATGGATTCATTTGTTTATCAATGCGATATTTCATCCACTGAAGATTCACACAGTTAAAATCTACACCGGATGACAAAACATGATTTCAAAAGACGTTGGAACCAACATCAAATGTCCTTTAAAAATAATAAATACAGAAATCAAACATCCCTATCTAAAGATTTCTGGCACTTAAAAAAAACCAATAAAACACCAACAGTAAAATGGAAATTAATAAGAAGAGC